GGAAATTTGGTCATGCTAAAACGCATTCCCCTTTGTCTGCGAAGCCGTTTGCCAGGCGGACTCCGAGCACAGGGGTGGTGTTACTCAGAAGGAGGGGTCCTGGAGCACTTCTGCCCGGACAAGAGAGGGGAGTGTATAAAAGGTCCGAGGGACCAACGGGAAGCAGGACTGAACGCCAACATTTTAGGAAAGAGCAGAACTGCTTTCTTCTTAATTTATTCTGATACATGTAACTAAACAGGGCTGGATACTTCTTCCTTCACTTGGTTTGAAGTCAGTGTGACAGCTAGTAGAGTAAGCTGCTCTCTTGCATGAATAAAATTACCAGAATCTGGCCTGGAGAATGTTGCCTTTAGAAATGATTAAAAACATATTTAATTCTCTGTGTTGTATATCCTTTTCCTGCTGTGAGATTATTTGATAATATAATTTACAAAATCCCATGTAGAAACCTACAATATTACAAGGTAAATATTCAAAGAGAAAACCTGAAATGTGCCGGGTTCCCTTAAATGTGTTTTGTTGCAATTAAGAGAAGATCTTTTATTGTCTTGTTTTGATTTCTAAGAGGACTTTTCTTCAGTGTTAGGTTCTCAGAAATCTTCTTCTTTCCTTCCTTTTTTTTTTTTTTTTTTTTTTTAGTAATTAATAATGGAGCAGACTTTTAGTATCTACCCTGGAAGGTAAAAACCCTTAATCACAGTAACATCATTAGTGCTTTCAAGCATTTAATTTTGATGCTTGACAAAGCACATAGCCATTGATAAGAACAAATAAGTGTTGTTGTGTGCAATTGAGGGAAAAAAGAAAAGCATGAAAACCCCTAAGCTTCAAGTAATTAAATTTAAATATGTTATTTGAATTTAGCTGAGATAATGTACAAACTGTGGGTATATTTTTCAATCAGTGAAAGACCCCTTGAGTAAACATGATCCATTTAAATTCAAATCATGGGGAGTGGAAAGTAAACCCTGCTGTGGTTAAGAAGGCATCTTCACTAAAATATTGGGCATTGTGTATCTTTGATATCTGAGTACTCGTGTGTTGTAGTTTTGTAAAGGGCTGTTTTCACTCATGGATGCCTACATGCCAGAGACTTTATTGCATCTATTTATTTCCTGTTTTTTTTTGTCGTCTGTCCCGTCCCCCCCCCTTTCCCTAATTTGAACCAGTAATGAAAAACTGACACTCTGCTTCTGCTATCCTTTAAAGTGCCTCAAAACTGTTATAATTCAGCACTTATTAGCCTTGGGATATGGCTTTATGGCATTTGGGTGAAGTTTTTGTAGTACATCTGTGCTCTTTCTCTCTCTGTAGGCCACAAGCTCAGAACCGCAGTAATAAAACTACTAGTAGGTGTTTAATGGCAGGTTATTGAGGAAGTAGATAAAAGAAAATTGCAACATTCACATCAGTAGGGAGTGGGGTTTTTAAGGGAGAGGAACTGCTGAGCTTTGAACTAGGGAAAGTTACACATGGTGCTTTTGTTCAAGGGGACCACTTTTTAGACACCAAAATACCTCATCATTCTTCCCTGTGAAATGGGATGTTCTGGTAGAATTGGTGCTTGGTATGTACAATCTGTGCACGTGTGGCAGAAAAACTTGCTGTTGTAAGCAATGATGATTGAGAAGCAAGTTTGTCCTTAGTGTTCCCTTCCAAATATCAGGAGCAGGGAGGGGGAATGTGCAAGCAGTGAAAGAAAAAGCGATCTCCCACTCTTTTCCAAAAGTATTAAGTGATCTTACTGTGAACATCTTAATTATGCATGTTACTCTTTTTTGTCAAGCTGTCCTCAGTATGTTTTGTGTAGGAATGTGTGTGTATAATGAACAGTTAGCCCACGCACATATAAGAGAAGATTCTGTCTTTTATTCTGCTCGTGATCAAAGCGTCATTTTACAACCTGTTACATGTTTATCTTCACATCATCCCTAAGAGGCAATTTAAAGGCAAAAGGCAGAAGAACAAAGAATTTAAATATTTTGCACAAACTCACCCAGAAGGCTGTGACTGCTGCATGGATTGCCATGGTGAGCTGGCAGTGATGCTGTCCTCTTTGTCCTGGACTCCGCTGACTGGACTCTTATGCCCTTTTGGTAATATATGTCCAAGGAGACCCAGACCTCTTGTTCTTCTAGAAGCCCAGTCTTTCAACTGCTCAGGTCAGCTGGTGAATCCTGGAAAACAAGGAAACAAACCTGATTTGTAGGGCTATTTGCAGAAGTAAGAGAGAATTGGTAATGGAGGATTTTATCCATGCGGTGGGATAACTGTAGTACTCTCTGTAGTTACTGAGCCCAGTTCCTCAAGGTCTACAGAGTTGCAGATCATCATTCTGCTGCATAGACTGCTACAGGTCTGTGCTGCAGAGATGTCGGAGAGCTCCCAGACAGCCTGTTGCAATTCTGGTACCTCGTTCTGTAGTTGGACTTCAGCACTTTTAAGGATTTCTGCTTAGCATATGGAGAGGCAGGATGTACAGTCAAAACAAAAAAAACCTAAGAAACAAATTGCTCATCTGCAGGACAAGAGAAGAGATTAAAAGTTTCGTAGGATGAATTTGCATATAAAGGACAGGAAGGAAAAACTAGAGCTATTCTTACAATTGTAATGGTATGAAGTAATGAAGAAATTGATGTACAAGTCCTCTTTGTGTCCTGGAGCCAGGAGCAGCTCCTTTATTCCAGTGTGGTGTAGTGCCTAACATCAGCTGTCCATTTTTGAGAGTCATGAGAAAGCAGTTGTTAAACTGTATAGAGCTAAGGATCTTCCACAAGAAGGGGTAGTTAATATATATTCTTCTGCTGCAAGTAGCCATTTTACAACAGAGAAGAAACATGCTTTCATGCAGCAATTACCACCCCGATATTGAAGGACTCACTAAATTCCAGTATAAATGCCTGCAGAAATGAGGTGAGAAACCAAGGACGTTAAAAAGAAGATAAAGGAAAGAAAGTCAGCTTTCTGCAATTCTTGAGGTCAGACCAGCGTAAGCGACAGATTCTCAGTAAAAAGAGTTGCTCGTCTGCCCTGCGTGAGGCACCGATTTACTAAGCAGACTTCTGTCCAGTTGGTTTATCAGTAATGTTGTGCATGTGTGTGTTTTAGGTTAATGAATCTGATTTCTAATTTATTAGCTGACCGGTATTCTTGGTGCAAAGGAGGGAAAGAAAGTCTGATTCTCTGTTGAGGAACTGTGAGGTTGTTAAGCAGGTTCTCAGTCATGCCACAGATATAACTTGACGAAGCACACCTGGATCCTCCCTGTTGGCTGCGTTTATAGTCTCCTCTGACATCCAGTATTTGGCTTTGCATGTGAGAGACAGACAAGGAAAAAGAGAGAAAGGTTCTGGAGGCTTTTCTAACAGAGATGCCAAACTGTCAAATAGTAAATCAGGAAGCAGGTCCCTGATGGTTTCACATCAAGAGGAGACACCCTTTTGTGACTGTGCGGTGTCTACTGGTTATTTTCACTTCCGTCAGAACTGTCTGATATGGTCAAGTAGGTTTGAGGCTTTAAACATTCAATTTTCCTTTCATTTATTGTGACTGTTTTATTTATTTGTCTGTCTTGGTACTTTTCAAGGATACATACTTCAAGGATACTTTTTACTCTCTAACATTTTCATGGATCGTCATCCCGAAGTTAAGGGTAGAAAAAGAAACAAAAAGAAAGGGAGGAAAAAAGAGCAATATGTCTACAGCTTCAGGGGACAAAAGAAGAAATATATTCAATTTAGGAAGACCTCTAATCTCTGGTTATACAGGACAGCTTTGTTAGATAAGATTAAAAATTTCATGAATGTCCCTTTTTATCCCTGGAGACTCCGCCATTTATACCAGCTATTGTCAGCATCAAAAGAGCTTGATAACAGCTGGCTAGAGACGTGACCACACAGCAACACAACAGCAAGGAAGGGGCAGCCGGGTTCATAAATCTTCAGAAAACCCGTTCCCCCAGCGCAGCCATGAATCTGCTGCTATCACAGTCAAAGGGAGAATGCATTGTCCTCCAGCCAGTCAAAAACCTGAACTTCAGCATTAACAGGGGCTCTGTTGAAAGTGTAGGGTGCACAATGAGATGTTTTCCATTATCTTCTTCATTGCAGCCCTTATTACAGCGCACAGATACAGTTTAAAGGATCTTTGAGTTTAGCTTGTTGCTAGGTAGAGTTTTTCCAAAAATCACGCAGCCCTTACCCTTGGCAGTGTAATCCTGCTTTTTCTGTTTATCGCATCAATATGGTGCCACATGCGACATGGTCAGATCATGCCAGTTCGGTACACAATGGACCAGTCTCTGATATCTCCTAGCTGGGAAGGAGCTATCAAAGGCAGGATCTGGCCCTCGGGCGCTGAGCTTCCTCATTCTCCAGGGACTGCTCACAGACTCGGCGTAAGCTGGGCAAGTTAGGAAGCACAAATTGGCTCAGACTCTTGAAATACAAGTTTCCTGGTTTTCATGGGAGGGTCCAAATTCATATGTACTCGGCTTTCTTCTGGTCTTACTTAATTCAGTGGCAATATTTTCTCAGCTTTATAGAAAACCAGCTTGGCCCCGCAGGAACTTCATAGTTTCTGTAAAGCAAGCAGCTAATGAAGTAACAGCAGTTAATTTCAGGAGATGGAAGGAGAAAATTACTATGGACCAAAACAAAAGTGCAAGTCTATGTACTGTGCCTAAGAAAGGACAAAAGTAAAGCAGAATCATTTAGTAGGGAGATTCATACCCACCCATCGCGACCATTGCAGTGTTCAGCCAACTGTAATGTTACTTCAAAGCCTACCTATCTAGTATTGCCCAGAATCCAAGAACAAGCTTTATTAGAGAGGAATTAAATGCAATTTTGTTAGAGAAAACAGGAAAAAGACTTAATGCTTCTAACCCCCCTCCAAGAAAAACACGGTTTCTGAAAGTGCTCATGTTATGAAAGCTATGATTAAAAACTTAAAACCTAAATTATTGTTTATATATTTGTCTTTTTTTTTCCTGACAGCTCCATCCCCAATTGCTTTGATCCAGGCTAAAGAGATAACAAGGCATAGCGTTGCCTTGGCTTGGCTGGAACCTGACAGGCCAAATGGAGTGATCCTGGAGTATGAAGTCAAATACTATGAAAAGGTACTGTTCAAAAATGGACAAGCAAAGAGTTTTGTTTGGGTCCGAGGAGAGCTTTTTACTTCATTCCATTACAGTTTATTTCCAGATAGGATTCCGTAATTTGAAACCAAATAGATTCAGTTTAGTAAAATCCAATTAAGGATTTCATGCGCTTGAATGGTTGCTTGAAAGAATAAGACTCATAGGCTGTTCCAGCTGTATGGTACGAGTTTATTTTGTTATTTTTTCCTACCTAGGAACTGAGCTTTTGTGGCAAGCATATTTATAATGAGAATCAATAATGTTGGGCAGAAGTGAGAAGCTTTACTTCATAGAAGTATAATAATGAAGTATATAACACAGCAATAATAATAAGATCTGTTTGCCAATAGCTTCTGCTTAGAGCGATAGTGTGGGCTGGATGGCTTTTAATAGAGAATAAGGAACGAAAATTACATTCTTCATACTTTTCAAGTTAGAGGAAGATGTTATTCCTAGAAATAACTTCTCAAGTATGGAACTATGAAAAGAGCTATTTTCTTTGAAGGTTCTCTGCAAAAATGAACAATTACCTGCTCTTGCTTGTGTGTACTCTCTCTCACATGCGCATGCATACTTCTAATTTTTTTTTAATGAAGATAATCACTTACTTGCTTCCCTAACGTATACAGAAAAAGGTATCTGGTTTGCAGGGAATCTAGATTATTACATTTTCTGTTGGATTTTCCAGCCAAAAATAGAACAGTTTTTAAAATTGGGCTTTCTGGAAGATGTTCTCTAAGTCTTTTCTTTTTAAAAATATGTTTATCTTTTTTATATGGCTCCTGGCTGGTAGGAAGAAAAGGAAAGTGCCAGCATGTGTGAGTAAAATGTTGCTTGTTCATCAAGAGGATCCTATTTGAAGTCTTGGCTGTTTTCCAAAGGATTTTGTGTGATTTCTTAAATAGTCAGTGATATATGAGCGTTGTACCTACCGCCTCATCATCCTTTTTTGGCTTGCTCAGAGCTCCATGCAGCACACGGTGCCAGGGGTATTGAGCAAGGCCGACAGCAGGAGCCCTCGGGACGTATTTTGAGAATTCCATCATTGTTACTCATCTTCTTTCATCATGACAGTTTTGGCAAGGAAATGGGGTTCCACGGTTCATGGTGCAGCGAGGCATTTCTATTTGATCACCACTGTGTTCTTTCGTTGTTAGGACCAAAACGAGCGCAGCTATCGCATTGTGAAGACAGCCTCCAGGAACACTGACATCAAAGGCTTGAATCCCCTGACTTCGTATGTATTTCACGTCCGGGCCAGGACAGCGGCAGGATATGGAGACTTCAGTGGACCATTTGAGTTCACAACCAACACAGGTAATGACATGCCCACTGATTTCTTTTTCTTTTCCTTGAGCAAAGAGTGCAAATGTAACTGAACTGTGTGTTGGGAGTTTCCCGTTGGTTGCTTGGACTGTGGTGTGTTGGTTCTGGGAAAATGTTCTTCCGTGGCCACATGCCTGTTAGTGATGCCACGAATCTGACCCGAGACACCTATTTGAGTATGCTATTTTCTAGATTCTAACAGTGAAAGTACTTCAGTGTTGCATAAGGAGACATGCACCCTATAAACGCTTGGAAGCTGTTGATGCTGGAGGGATTTAACTACCTATTTTGTTTACTGTAAATGTACATGTTTGCACATGTTTTTGGTATATTTCATTTGCAGGAGAATAGAACCCTGTTACTCCCCTGTGCAAGCTATTGACATAGATCAGTTAGGTGTCCTACATCAGCTTGCATATTTGCACTTTTCCTTAGACGGTCATACAAAGACAGAATGTTTGAATTATGTTGTCAGTAGAGCTTTTCACTTTGCTCAAGGAAACATGCAAATGTAGCCCCCAAAATGTTTGTTTTTCAGTGGCAGGGATGCAGTGTGACCAAGCCTATTTTATTTTGGACATACAGGTTTGTTTAAATCAATTTAAGGTCATGCCAGTTAGTGACAACATCCTTCAGGATGTTAACAGCTGAAAATAATCAATCCAGCAGGAAGAGGGAAGACGTTTTAAAATGACTTACTCTGTCAGTTGGGGAGTGATCATCTGGCCCCACTGAGAGAAAAAGGAGGAGGAAAGCAATTAGAAAGGCAAAAAAAAAAATAGCCGTTATACCCTCTGAGCAACACTGAAGGGGAGAAGGAGAGGGAGTACTTGTTCCCAGTGAACTGAAGTTCCCCAAATCATTATCAAACAACATGTCTTCAGCTAATTAGGGCCCTGTTGGAAAATTGTGTCAAATGACATGTAATAATGGCCTGAAAGTAGATTTGAGTGCTACTCTGAAGTGCCTTCACAAGCCAGAAAGCCTCATTGAGTGCTACCTAGGTTGATTTTTTGAGGGTGTCTGACACTAACGCCCCCTTTTCTGTTTCCAGTTCCTTCCCCCATCATTGGCGATGGTACCAATCCCACAGTGCTTCTTGTTTCAGTGGCTGGCAGTGTTGTTCTTGTGGTCATTCTCATTGCAGCCTTTGTCATCAGCAGGAGGTAAGAACTTAAGCTTCTCTCTCCCTCTCTCTCTTTCATGAGGGAGCTTTTTGTCTCCTCCAAACAAAGCTAAATTCTTTGATTAGCATCATAAACAGTGCATTTGCATTACAAGCCTTCTCCCATGTAGCTTTGATCTTCTCAACATTAGTACCAAGCAGCATGTGATGTAATGGCAATAGTTCCAGTTCTATTTGCCCTTCAGATGCAGAGCTGATTCCAATAACTGGCATTGAGAGGCAAGCCAGCTAGAGATTTGTGGTTAGTATAATCTGAAGTTAAGTTTAATGGGTATGGGTACAGTAGATTTTCTTGGACTGACTCCCGATAGACGAGCAGTAAACAACTGCACTGTTGTGAACTAAGCCATCAGACTGCTATGCTTGTGATTTTTGTGTTAGTCCGCATGAGTCTGCAGTAGTCTTTTGGGTTAGTCCTTTCAGTGTGAGTGGATATGACTGTAAAACAGAAGCCACAGTCATTCAGCATCATAGGCAGTCACACAGTAGACTGGATCGATGGTTATTTCATCAGAGCAGGACCATCATCTTCTACCAAGTACTTGTTCATTCTCCCAAATTCAACCCAGGCATCAGGAACAATCCTGCGAATGGCAGGACAGCGTAGCAGAAACACAGTGTGAGTGTTTCTGTCTTCATCTTTGTGTTGAGTCTCATTTGAAAAGATCAGCATGATTTTGCTTCAGTGTAATTCTGAGGTAAAACTGGCTGTATCATTATTGCATCTGAAGCCTGGAATCTGAGGGATGCACGTTTTGTCAGTCTCTGTTGATCAGTTTAATGGCATCAGCCATAAATGTGCACAAATTCCTCTTGATTTGCTCTCTTACTTTAAATTGTCTTAAAGAGCAGTTAAGTCACTGTGATTGTAGTATCTGGAAAGCAGACATGCATTGTTACAGCTTTCTGTGGGTGTTCAACTCAAAGCCTTCATGCTGGCAAGAAGAAAGAAGAGCAGAACATATGAAAATGTAATGCAGAAAGACAGGTTTATTAAAAGCCGTTGCAACAGCAAATAGCGTCACTGAGCTTGATGACTTAATCTCCTCTCTGCTTTTATTGATCACTTTATTATTTAAGGCAGGATTGATAGCAGGATACATTGGATTTCTAATTATGAGTCGCCACCTTGGAGAATTGAGCCTGTCGAGCTGCTTTGAGATGATTCCTTCTCCTCCTCCCCCTATAAAAAAAAGTCGCTTCCCAAGGCTGATAAACACTGCCTGGTGATTGGCCCTCAATGGATCACTTTTTAGAAAATGAAATGTCAACCCCTTGCCCTCATATTGATTCTCTTTAGTACCAGCCATAAAGCTGTCAAAGGAAAGGCTGCCTGGAGCCAGGTAGCTGACAGACTCGCTGATGCGGGCGCGCGCTCGGGCAGGTCTTCTCACCGCTCAGGCTGTCTCTTCAGTTATCTCTGCCCACAAGTGTTCAAACTTGGACAAAGACAAGACAAAGGGCAGGTGGGCAGTAGGGACAAAAGGCTGGTCCCAGCACTGGTGTGAATGGAGATAAAAGTATCCTGGTGGCGACAGGTTCAGACATGTCCCGTAGCTCTGCACTGAAAGGTCTCAGAGAGGCTGTGGAAGGGGAGAGGCATAGCAAGATGAATGAAATACTAGGACAGTGAAACTGCTCTGTGCATACTAATGCACGGTGCCTTGCTAATTAATAGCCTTCCTCAATACACAGCTCTCAGTAGCTGGAAGTAGCTCTCAATGAACAGAATCTGCTTTAATATTCACTATTCCTCTAACTATTTTAACCACTTTACCAATGTCATTTAGAGGTGTGGGCTTTGGGGATATTTCATGATGTTCCTACACTAGCAAAAGTTGATAGCAAAATAATTATATTTTGTTCCAAAAGGACTTCAGATGAGAACAAGCTTTTCTGTCTCTACAGTCCCCATAAGGAGGTTTTATAATCTCGCCGTGACCTAAAAGTCATATTTTTATAATCAAAACTGTGCTTTGGCCTGCAGACATGGCCTCTCTGCATCCATGAACCAAATGTGGGAACTGGGCTTATGCTGTAGGTGCCCGCTTTCGAGCTCTGGGTTATTGCTACTAATTTAGCATTACGTTTTTTCAAGTCATTGCTCAAATCCCAAAATTCATCTTTACAACAGAATTTGTCAAAGGACTTTGCCGTCAGGCAACTCAAGCTGTTTGGTTCTATCCTGTGACCGTGGTGTTTGTGTAACGTGAGAACTAATCTGCCTAAATGTTAGTTTAAACTTACTGAGGTTAAGATGAACATATCCATAGAGCAGAGTGCAGGAGGTGGCATGAGTGTTTCTCAACCCTACCCTGCAGGAACTCCCGAGTGCAATTAGAATATCTCAGATAGATTCGTAAAGGATTTGGGAAAGTGTAAAACAGAGAGGGCCGCTTTCTAAAAGTGCTTGGGTGGAGTAAGATGGCCCTACTAAATCCTCTGGTCATTTAAAGGTTTCCATCAGAAATTATTCCAGTCAATAGATTGATTTATCTTCTGCTCCATCAACAGCTGAACACATTTGCCCACCTTTTGCTGATGGTGTTGGATCAGGTGTTCCACCGGCCCGGTGCCCGAGCCCTGCGGCACCCCCAACGCCTCTTTTCTTTGGGGAGGATGAGGTGCAGCGCTGAGTCCGTGCTGTTTCACCTCAGAGTGTGCTATAACCCCCTCCACTCTTACCTTCTCTTCATCTCCAGCCCCCACCTGTAGATCTGCCTGTGTCTCAGACCCCGCAATTTCTGAAAGCGTCTGTGTTCTTTTCCCGAATGCCGGCTATTTAATCACCACCGCCAGAATCCCTGTAATTACGGGGTTCAAATCTGTGACAAAGGGTCCCTTCTGCCACTCAGGTGAGGCCCCGAGAGGCAGCTCCAGCCCCGTGTGTGTGTCCCATGGTGCAGGGCCCCCGGGCTGCTTGGGGACAGTGGCAGACAGGAGTGTCCTGCCCCCGGCCAGGCAGGAGAGGTCAACAGGTGACGCAGGGAGAAGTGGAAGTAGGTAGTTAGTTTGGAAGGCATTATTTGAACTTAATAAACTACAATTATATTACTTGAACAGTAATCCCTTTGTTTCCCTTTGCATGTCTTTGGGTTTTAGTGGGGGAAGGTTATTTTTTTTATCTGTTGTTAGGGTGCTTGTACTTTCAAAAATAAGATAAAGAGCATTTTTTCATACTTAAAACGCTTTTATGCAAAGGATGTTTGTGTTTCATATTTCCCATCTGTGCCTGAACATTAATAAAATGAATTTGAAGGGGTCCTGCTTAAAATGCAGAATCTGTGGGTTTTTTTCCTTTTTTTCTTTCCTCCGAGAGAAGTTGTGTAATACCTGAAACCATGTCTGCAATCCCCTTAGCTGACTTGGTCCCCTATGGCACGGGGTGAGATTTGTGCTGCCTCTTCCTTCTTACTTAGTTCAGTAACTGGGAGCAGAACAGTCCTTTTATTTAACTCAGCTCTGTTATACCAGTGCTGTAAGTCCTCGGGCAAATAAATGGTTTAAATAGATGTTTGGATCCAGTGTGGTTTTTAATAATGCTTTTCTTGTGATTTGGATCCATTTGTGTTTAATTGACTTTCATCAAGAAAAGAAGCTCCCAACCCGTTTATGGTTGGATGCGTACCTGCTTTTTATGTCTGAGCAGAAGTCCTGTTGATGTTGTTGGGAGCTGCAAGGCTTGGTTCAAAGATCAGGTAGTCTTCACATGTCAAACAGGATTTTTTTTTTTTTTTCCTTCTGTTTCATGGTTAATTTATAATTTTTATTATTGGCATAGTGTGTTTAACACTCAGCACTAAAAGACTGCAAAGACAAAGGCTGGGAAATGGCCTTTCAGGGTGGGAAGTGAGGGGCAGAAGGGTTTTGCTGACGGGGGTAGGGGGGAGAATGGTGAAACTCAGGAAGGTTTGCTGCAAACAAGGCGCTCAGTCACATATTTTCTTCCTGTCATCTGAGACCCCTTTTAACTCACACCTCCCGACAGATCTTTCTCTCACCCACACCCGTTTCCCCTTTACCCATTCACAATTTTCAGACTTCTAACCTGTTCTCCAGGCTTGGTTTCTCCTTTTGCCTTCCCTCTTCTTTACTCCAGCCCAGACTCTTGCCAGTTAGCTAACCTGGGTCTGACGTGCTGGGAGACTCGGACTTCCATAGGAACAGGCAAACTGAGGAGTAAACAACAACAAGCTCTTCTCTTTGGCAATGTCTGTTCTTACACCTCGTTCTGAACTTTCAACGACTGATGGGTAAAAGCCCAAATCAAATCTCTACATCTACATGCCGTTAGATGCTGGGGAACTTCAAATCCCAGTACACGTTTGGCTGAGCTGACTCCTCAGTATCTTCCCTAACAGACTAACCTCTTGTATTAACTTTTCTTAATGCCACTTATCTATTGAAGTTTAAAGCTCAACTAATTAAATACATAACTGTATACAGTATCATCTGTGTAGGTGTAGAAGTAGTTAGCTATAGAATTAACATACTATACATTATTCTGTCCAGCTCAGAGGGTTAGTAGAGGAGCTCTGCCATCAGGAGTTCTTTGTCCCCATCAATTATACAGTGATTAAAAGAATAAACAAAATCCTTGGGATCTGCATTTTTGATAGTCAGGGATTTTTTTTGCTGCCATCCTGATTTCTGTGTTAATAGACTTGTTTCCAGTTTTAAATTTGCAGTTAAATAAGTGTGTAGATATTGGCATTTACCTAATTTACATTTGAAAATCATTCTAGCAAAACACCTTTGTTGTAGCATTTAAGTCCATATATGATAGGGCTGAAAAGCAATTTCGCCCCTTTTTTCACAGAATTGCAAATATACCTTTGAAGAAAAAGTAGCCGAAATGCAAGGTTTCGTTTCTTTCTTTAAATGCCGGGATGCAAATAGATTTGTGTTTCCCTTGATGCTTTGTTGAGGCCAGTAACACTTAGAGCAGGTTGGGGAGAGGAGTGTCCTGCCCCACTGGTAAGTGTATGTTGTGTCATGGGCTGTTATAGGGAAGCTGCCGAGCACAGGTCGTGGTGCAAACAGCTCAAGTCTCAGCAGGTCAAGAAGACTGAGCTTGTCTCAGAGGAAGATATTTATTTTGAACTGTAACGCTCTTTTTTATCCTGACAGGCGCAGTAAGTACAGTAAGGCTAAGCAAGAGGCAGATGAGGAGAAACATTTGAACCAAGGTAAAAGGCAGTGGTGCTTGGGTTTTCTGATTTGGTTCGTAAAACACATCCCATGTTCTGATGCTTGGGAAATAAGGGATGACATTCCTCTTGAGGTGAATGTGTTTCTGTTTTCCTCTCTTGCAGACATCCTTCTTAAAAAATATGTACTTTAGTAACAGGGAAAACAGAAGAATCTGGGTAAAAAGTTTTGAGGGGACAGACAGGAGAAAGGTTCATCAAATTTTTCCATTTTTCCTTTCCATTGGAAGACATCTGTTCTTGGCTGGTGATATCTAGGCATGATTTTTCCCCACAATACTCTGCTAAAGCAGTTTCTGGATGGGCCGGAGGATATCCTGCAGGAAAGGGAATGTGAACTTTGTTCCCTTTTTCCCAGGACTGAATCGTACTGTTACTTCCATCTCAGTCGTCTAGGTACCGAACCTGGGACCTGAGCTCAGAATTTCTTGGCTCCCTAAAGGCAAATGGGATGTGTTTTAGTCTCACAGGTCTATAGACAGGCTATTGGCCTGTTGTGATCGCAGTGATTTGTGAAGCTTGTTTATTGGCAAATGCCTGATTCCTTCCATCAATATTGGGAAATATTAAATGTTTACGTTAAAAAAAATCACATCAGGGGAAAAAATACATTAAGTCCTTCCTTCCTTCATCAGTCATTCCTGGCTTACAGTACATTTTTATTGTACACTCTCTTTGCTGTTGTATATCATTAAGGCTTCAGTCTCATATGTTCTGTGTTCAGCAGCATGTAGATCAGTGACTTCAAATAAAACATTTCTGCCTTGCAGGTGTTAGAACATATGTGGATCCTTTTACATATGAGGATCCAAACCAAGCTGTGAGGGAATTTGCCAAAGAAATTGATGCCTCCTGCATAAAGATTGAAAAAGTTATTGGTGTGGGTAAGTGCCAGAGCTTTTGCATTTTTTTTCCTGTAAATATAGTTTTAAATTTGCTTTTGGGAAACATGGGATCCTATGATTTTTGTATGACAGTTCCCCCAAATGAACTGACATAACGGTTTGACAGCACAAGCGCATGCTTCATGTTCATGACTGTGGATTCTTGTGCCTTTTTCTTTAAGGGGAATTTGGTGAAGTATGCAGTGGACGTCTCAAAGTACCAGGAAAAAGAGAGATCTGTGTTGCTATCAAGACTCTAAAAGCTGGTTACACTGATAAACAAAGGAGAGACTTCCTGAGTGAGGCCAGCATCATGGGACAATTTGACCACCCCAATATCATCCACTTGGAAGGTGTAGTTACTAAATGTAAGTAGGTCATTTTCATGACAAGGCCAATTTGGAAGTCACTGAGCAATTAAGTCTGTGGTGGTGCGTGCTGTTGGTTTTTTTTTTCCTTTTTACCCTCTTTCCTGTGAAATGACAGATGGAACAGATCCACTGATAGCTAATAGGAGGAAATCAGTGTGGGACAAGTCATTAATCTTGTTGTCAGCTGTAAATGGGTTTATGGTTTCAACTGATACTCTATCTGTAGGCAGCTTGTACAAGATTTTGTAGGGGGAATTAATACTGCAGAGGTTGGCTTTTTTTTCCCCTTCTTGTTATGCCAAGCAGGCATCTTTCACATCTTTGCTAGACTGAGCTGATTGTTACAGGATAGGCAAAAGCAGATGGTGAGCAAAGAATGTAAAATGGTTGGGGGAAAAATACCAAAACAAAACTAGAGAGTCATATGTTTAAAGTACAAAGCACAGATGTAAGGAGCAAGCCTTTGAAATGAAGCAGGCTATTTTGGTGTGAAACTTGCTTATTTGTTTTCTCTGATTTACACGTGTGATAATTTCACTCTGCAGAATTTACCTGGCCAGTCTTTTTGTTTGTTTGGTTTGGGTTTAGGTTTTTTTTTAAAGTCTGTTAGTGTTCAGTGTGCCATGAACCCTGCCTTAGAAAGAGAATGGCAGCACTTGCTGGGTGCTCTTTGTAGGCTAGAATTGAAAATGCACCTGTGAGACAGACGTGCTTGGATCCGACCTGATAAGGTGCCGCTGCGATGGTGTAGTTATTGTCCCTACTCCGGTTGCCCTAGGTAGCATGTCGGCAAAGCCTGGCACTGCTCGCTAGTCCTAAAAGACCCTTTGGATGCAGGGGCTCGTGCTCAGGGTAGCAAAGGCAGACAGTGGTCTTGTGAGCTGCTGTTAAAGGGTGGAATTTGTGAAGCTTACCTTCTGCAGCTGATGGTGTGCATGATGAACATGAATGCAGAGTATTAATAGCGTAAGGAATTAAAATTAGGTATGGATGAAAAGTTCAAAAGCAAAATATTACTAGAAGAACAAAGCATCTCCCATGGAGGGTTGTCAAAGCCATCAATACCAGTGAAGAACCCTGTCCCTCTTGAATGTTGGTGGGAACTGGATACTTACTCTGCCACTTGTGTTTTTGGAAATCTGACCCTTGCTCATTTGTGTTTCCCTCTCCTAGTCTGCCTTCTCTCGCAGTTGTTGGAAATGACAGTGTGTCACTATTTGCTTTTCAAGACAAATTCTGCTAGGGAAGGTAGGGGTTTGACTAATTTTGACCATCGTTTACTGAAGGCCTTCCTCAAAACTGAAATTAAAAGACAATACTCCGTTTACATTTTGGAGGTCTGAGTCTGTCTCTCTTTTTCTTGTTGTTGTGAGAAAGTGGGAGTGTGTTGTGGTCAGGCCACAGCGTTTGCCACAGACAGTGATTTTTCTAGCACCTCTGTAAAAGAAAGGCAACAGGGGAGTCTTTGTGTTGAAATCCCACCGAGGCTGGAACCCCCTGAGCTATTACAGCTCTAGCAGTTATAAATGACTGTATGCATTTGCATAATGCAGTTGTCACTGAATTAAAATGATTTGAAATTTTCACCGAGGAGGTGGTAGCCTGACCCGAGAACGTTTCATTGCCTGGCTGGCAGTAAGCGATGCTTCCGCTGCAAGCCAGCTTGGTTACCTCAGAGCTGGTGTGTTTGGTAAACAGGGCTACTTAAGAAGACATTTATCTCAATTTCTCCATAGGTTTTCTGAATACTGTGATGAATGAATGCATTTAATAAACTGAAAATTAAAATGTGAGATAAATAGTGGTGTAGATAGGGGTTGAGAGAGGCAGCGAAAAACCATGAATACATTATTTGGCTGCTAGTCAAGTACTTTAATAATTGACTCACTGATGGTAACTTCTCCTCTCTCTGTCCCCCTCCTTTGCTAAAGAAGCGCCTGAGTAATGAAATTACATGTTAATGCACTGAAAGAGTCTCCCTTTCTTCCTTTCTGCGTTGACATAGTATCTTTTGATTGAGGAAGGTTAATTAAAACTCATTTAGCTGTATTTGTTCGGTGGAAGGGTTCTGGTCACAGTTGCAAAGGATAAATGAAACAGTGACATATGCAGATTTGGTTGGAGTTTTTTCTCTTTCTACCAAAGAATGCTTGCAAAGGTGAATTAGAGGGAGAACGATGTTTTATCACATCCCTTTCCTTAAGGGTGCAAGTACTCAGCCAAGGTCACTAAGCCCTTCATCCAGAGCAGTTTGCTTTATGCAGTACCGTGGTTTCTCTGCTGCGTTCATGCAAATCAGAAAGGGTTCAGCTGCCAGACTGGCATTTCACAGGCATGCCAGCACGCGTGGCAGTAAGAGTTTTGATATCAGTTGGGAAGGGAAGGAGAAGAAGGAATAGTAAAAGGCCTGCAAAGGGTAGGTTGGGACTGAAAAGGTGAAATAAGTAATGATGAGTGAAATAAGTGATGTACTGCACATGGATGTTGGCCTAAGTGAAATGATGTAAAATTTTGAGTACAGTCAGTCCTTATAGCATATTGTTTTCTAATTAAAATAAAAAAAGGTTACTTCAAAAACAGAAATCCCTGACAAGTGCAGAGAAAAGCATCTTGGTGAAAAATGCGCTGAGACAGAAATTATTAGAGGAACTTTCAATGCTGCAGCATTTCACGGTAGGGTAGTTTTCATAGCCGGTTGTTCTGGAGCAGATACTTGCTGATGACAGAAGCAAGGAGAAGTTGAGTAGTTCAGATACCAAGACAGAATTGAGCTGTGTACAGCCTAGGTGATGTGTCCATTGAACCTGTCTTTCCCCATAATGTTCTTTTATTCAGAGGTGCTCCAGGATGTACAAAAGCAGAGTTTCTCTGGGACACTGTCTTTTATTTAGGAAGAAACTCTATAGTCCTGTAGCTAAAGCGTAAGTAGGAAGAAGGGTTGCCATGCCAGCCTGGTGCTGATCATCGGGTGCTCCCTTGACTTCAGGTGGGCTTCACAGTGCTCATCTTGGGGGGACGAAACTTTTGCCATTCGACCTTTGATAAGTCACTGCTCTGCACCTCCCATTGCTCGCTTTTAGACTGGAGATGCTATTGGACCTATTTCTGCAAATATCTAGATGCTGAATATCCAGCATGATTTAACCCCGTGGAATAATTAATGTTACTTGTATGTACCTAAATGTTTTCAGTTTCAGTGTCCTATGACTTTGTAAAGCTCTTAAAGACAACATCAAGCATTATTTATGTATTTGCTGTTGTTATAGGCAGGAGAGTGCCTAGAAAGCATACCCATGTCAGTAACATTACATTACATTTCTCTTCAGATTGCCCAGCTTGGCTCTCTATCGCAGCTGAGTGCTGCTGAAGCACTATGCCCCACATGTGACACAATTCATTGAATCATTTATCCTGTGGTTGACTTCATGAGGCAAATGGCTTTGGCTCATTTATAAATAACGAGAGACACGGGATACAAATTTGGGACAGAGAAAGTTGAGAGAAACCGCTTGTATTTGGCATTCTTGAATCCACTTGTCTTGGAAAACCTTGTACTGCTGACAGCTTCTAACTCGCCTAAAGCGTTGATCTTTCGAAAGAGGCAGAAAGACCAAAGCGTTCGCAAATTCCGTTTTGAAAGAGGAAAGCTTTCTAGTCTGCAAGCAATTTAATTACACTAAAGGTTTTTGTCAAGTTTGAACAGATCTTTGTTTCTTAGCTCTCAATTATCAATTCATGTATTCCTTAAAGAACAGGAGCCACTTTAGTTACAGATCCTGTCAATGAGTCAACCAAAGGGTTAACCTTCCAGATGGGGCCCTTTAAATGCTTCTGTCCTATAATATTTCTTCCGTTGCTCCCCACAGCTGAGGCATAAGCTTGGTGCTTTTCAAATTAAATTAGATTGTGTAAGCCAGGTGTCTTGGCAGTAAAATCATGTGCAACCCATTTTTATCCCATTAACATCGGTGTTCATCAAGGAATTGTGTTTTTCTTTCTGCGAACTCTAGGTAAACCGGTAATGATCATAACTGAGTACATGGAGAATGGCTCCTTGGATGCCTTCCTCAGGGTAGGTGATTTCTTCATAATAAGCTAAGGAGATTTTATACTGGGAAACATTTTCTGGTTTTCATTCTGGTTCTCTTTTGCAGAAAGATACTGAAGATTTAGCATTTAAAAAAAAAATATGTTTGTACTTGGGAAATCCTGTTTTCTGGTGTTGCTCCTATCAAAAACCAAAATAAATGTAAAGTGGAAGACTACAGAATAAGTGTAATATTTAAAATAGCAGGGTCTTAAAAAATCCATGTTTAATGGGAACAGTTCTGATTTGCTCCATTTTTGAAAGCATGGCAATGCTATAGACTCATTAAAACCAGATTCATTGTAAACTGGATACTGCATCACTGGAAGACAGTGGCAGAACCTCTGGGTTTTTACTTTACTGGTGAATTATAGACAGTAGTCAGGATAGTGAGGAAATAACATTGCATTTTATTTGAGAGAAGATGGGAATCCAGAGATGTGCTCTTTGCCAATTTCAGCAATGGCGATAATGTAGCTTTTAGCTTAATGCTCTGTGATTTTCTTCCTTTCCCCATATGCAGAAGAACGACGGCAGATTTACAGTCATCCAGTTGGTGGGGATGCTGCGTGGCATTGGCTCAGGAATGAAGTATCTGTCTGACATGAGCTATGTGCATCGGGATCTAGCTGCCCGAAACATACTAGTCAACAGCAACTTGGTCTGCAAAGTGTCTGACTTCGGCATGTCCCGCGTCCTGGAAGATGACCCTGAAGCAGCTTATACCACACGGGTAAGGAGGGAAAGAAAATGTCCAGTGGGTTTTCTTGCCTACGTATTGGTTTTGTCTGACTGCGTGGGAGGTGACAATGGTTTGTTTTAAAATAATCTCAGTCACAAGTGAAAACCTATATCACAACCTAAAAGTAAACACTGGCCAAGACTCCATAGCTCGTATAAATTGATGTAGTGTTATTGCTACATCAGTGCCTACATCAGTATTTCTTCTCTGAGGATGTGACCCATGTATTCCTCTGGTTCCTTCAGCGTGCTAGAGTGCGTGACAGGAATCTGATGCCAGAAATTAGAGCTTGGGTTTCTATTCCTTCTGCTTTCTACAGACATGCGTAATGATTTTCAAGTGGCTAGTCCTGCTGAGGTTTGATACAGCAAGTGTAGATATGCCACCAAAAAAAAAAAAAAATTCCACTTTTTCCTATCACAAAGCTAGTCATGAATTTGACCTAAATAATTTGGACTGGGAAAAGTGTAAAAGTGTGAGGCCTGCATTCCCGTTTTTTGTTTCTTTCTCATTTTATCTATATTTCAGCATCCCACTGTTAACTAATTTTGCTAAAGCCGTTTTAATACGCTGCATGTGGAATAGTACTAATGCAAGCAAGTACTTCTGGCCACAAAACAACATCCCGATCATTACCCGCATTTGTACCAATACCTCTGTAATTAACATGCGGATGAAGAAAAAAAAGAGTCAGAGTTTATAAAGTCTCCTTTTTTAATTGCTTATTTTCTTCGTTTTAAATATCTGCCATTCTCCATCTGTTCTCCCTAGTGCAGAGTTTGTTTGCAGCTCTTAGATTTTGCAGTTTAATCCCAACACTCATCCTGTAACGGATTCACAGTTCGTTATGGGGAAGGATAGACTGATGTAGTATTAAATGCTGGCCAGCCTTGGTATTTCTTGCTCGTAAGGGTGGCAAGTGGAAGAAGCAGAAGCAGAGGTCTGAAAAACTGTATTCAGGGAAATCAAAGTTTAGACAAACACACAAGGGCAAGACAGAAATGATTGAAAAGCTTCCCTTTGCATTTAGTGAGTGGAGATATAGTATTATGTTTGCTCTCAAGAGTAAACTACAGGGAATCAATGACATTTGCTTTACAGTGCATTGTCTTCATTTGGTATCAGTAATGAAGGATCAGGAAAATTTGGATGAACTCCACTGTACACGAGCAGTTAAATAAAAAGAGCTTATTGACAATTTTTAGAATGACAGCCATGTATAAACAACGTCCATGCATCTGTGTCTGAAAGGAGGAATACAGCTTTTTCATAACCAGAGAAGATACAATAGAAAGCAATATTTAAAGCATCCTTTTTTTGAGAGAACGGGGTGTTCTGCTCCCCATTAGTAGTATAACTCATTAAAGTGAGAGCGTCCTATAGCACACAAGGCACATACTGCTACAACCAGATTCGCAAAGGGTCTGATGCAGGGCCAAAGAAGACAGGAGAAGGACCCCTTTTGATTTCACTTGGCTTTGGAACAAGTCCATATTAAACACTTGAGAGAGATATTGGAACAACAAACTATTAAGTATGCACACGCTGCACTCACTTATGGGTAAAAACGATCTAGAAGATTGCTGAGAAGAAACCTACCAAAATAAACTTAATCAAAAAAGCATAAAAGCAAATGAAAAAAAAACATGAAACCTTTGTTCAGCTTAAGTCGTTCCCCAGATGGAACTGCAGGAAACCAAAAGCTCAATTAAAAACACCTTGCATATTAGCATAAACAAAAGGAGCAATCTCTGGCCTGGGATCACTCAGCTAAGACAGAATCAGATAAACAGGATGGATTGAGTTCCCTTTAAAACAGTGCAGGACCTCAGTGGCCCAAATGAGATGCCCAAGTGTTTTTATTTGTTTAAAAAGGAGTATTGTAAGAAGAGGCAGTTCTCTCCAACAGGTATCAAAAGCAGCCTTGTACCACGGTCTGGTGTTGAACTCTTCCCGCAGGGACTGGGAGAGCCCAGAGGCTTGCTTGCTGTCTCACATCTCTGGTAGGAGTTGGGGTATTGCCCATGGGAAACACCACAGTATTCATAAATCTTCCCAGTTTATCCTCTCTTTATTTTACCTTTTTGAAAAGCAAAACGTTTTTAATCCCATTTTTCTGAAACAGGCCAAACAGGTCAGACAGGCAAGCAAGGAAATAGTAATTAACAGCATGTACTTATTTGTTTTGTCAACTAAATCTCTAATATATACTTTGTAAAACCCCTGGCTTGTTCTCATGCTTCAGCATAGCCCTAAGCAGAGATCTCTTAGAGGGCTGATAAAAATACATTTAACAATTTACTGGTTCGCCTCCTTGTGACTAAAGAAAACAGATGGGCAGCATTGCCTCCTGGTTGGATCTGACAGTTTTATGGCAGGAAAAAGAGAAAGTGGATGCCTTTTTCAGAAGGATTCTGGAATTGCGTACAGAAAGCCATTTTGTATTTTTCATGGCAGTGTGGAACAGTGTCAGCCACGCACGTTACTGGGTCAGTGACTCACTAGCCTGTGGTTTCTTTTATTTGTGACAGGGTGGCAAGATCCCCATCAGGTGGACTGCACCAGAGGCAATTGCCTACCGTAAATTTACATCAGCTAGTGATGTGTGGAGCTATGGTATCGTCATGTGGGAAGTGATGTCCTATGGAGAAAGACCTTACTGGGATATGTCCAATCAAGACGTGAGTCTCCTTCTGAACGTCCTTTTCCTTTTCTCTCCCTTTCCCCCACACCTTTATCTTTGTCCTTAGATGTCTGATGATGTGCTTCTGTGTCAATTGCTGTATGTTTAGAAGACGTTTACTCCAGGTTTTTAAAAGGATATCATGGGTGGTAGATTCCTGTTTTCTCAGGGAACCCCTCTGGAACTAAGATTTCCTTGAATATTTCAAGCCTGGTCTATGGTCAGGGAATAGGGGATTCTCTCTTGGGGTCTATAACTTGTGCATGTATCTTTTTTCCTTTTTTTTTTTTTTTTTTTTTTTTTTAAATTTTAGGAAAAGTATGAGCAGTTAAAGTAAGAAAGAAGAATAGAGGAAAGGGAAACGAATATATTTAAACTGTCAGATCATAATACTATCAAGAGAAAGATTTGAATGTTGATATTAAATCTTAATTTTATTGAAAGTCTTTTAAAAAAACCATTTGAATTTAATGGGGCTTCCTATTAGTAGTTAATTCTTCAAGCCCCAGTATGCTTGTAATTCTTCCAGATGATTTTATTTCTTGTAGGATATCAAACAACACATATGAAACCCAATTCTGATTATCAGTCAGAGCATCCTTGTGACAATTGCATAGCTGCCCCCTGAGGACATTAAAAAGCAGCTTTCCTAAATGACCATTCTTAAATTATGCATGTCCTGTTTAACCGTACCATCTGGACTACTTCAGTGTATTCCAAGAGGGAGCATGCACAATGGCTGCTATTCCACAGGAGTATTCAATAATAATGCTAATAAGAGCTTTTACTAATAGAATTTTTATTAAATAAAAAAAAAAAAATCCCAGTGAAAATGAGGCGTAGATTATCCATAATTATTTTCCCAGGGGATTTACAAACATACAGAGGAAAAAGAAAATGTTAATCTGAATATATGGTCATGGGAGTGGTTAAGTCATTTTACAAGTCATCTGCTTTCTTATGTAGAGCTGAACATTTTCAAAGAGTGTCTAGATGCGGATGGCATTTAATCTAAACGGGGGATATAATTTTAATTTCCTTCTGATGTGAAATGTCTCTTCTGGCACCCAATCTTGCCTTCCTTTGCTAACAGGAAGTCATCAAGACTTAGCAAGAAAATAAAACACCAGATGTGTCTCAGTTACATCAGGCATGTCTACACAGCGCAGTGGAGCTCAATGCCACAAATGCAGAGCTAGCACGCTCGGCTGGTGTACGCTGCTCGTGTGCGGTGCCAGACCGTGTCGAAAAGCTGGCTGGAACAGGACAGTGAGAGCCAGTATTACTGTCCTTGCATCCTCTTTTTAGTACATGGCGTAGACATACCATTTTTTTCTCCTTAACGATAGTGAGAGCAGTGCTTTTCACAACAAAGCAGAAGTGGGTTGCAAATTGTTCTCTGTGTCTGCTGAATCAGAGAAATCAAAAGGATCTTCATACTTTCCGGAGTAGTGAGAGCCACTTTGTTTGTGGTCACTGAAAAGCTGCTAATAGTGCAAGCATGTCCCTCTCCCTGTCCTCCCAGTGGATTTTAGCCACTAATTGGACAAGACCAGAACGAGCGAATTTAGTACAATTCAGTCTCTGTGCACTCCTGGTCTCTAGTCTCATGGTGAATCCTGCCAGCGAAGTCGTATCGATTAATTAAGATCTGAAGGCTTCTGGGTCATGTCCCTGTCATATCAGAATTGAGTCCTGGTCACGTCCCGTTCTCCTGAGAGAGCTAAGAAGCCATCAGAGTACTGAGCTCTGGAGCCCTTTTTGGAGGGTTTGAAGTGACTTCAGCTTGTGAGTTTTTCTGCTTTCTATTAAATATGAAATGCATACTCAAGCTGCTGTGTTGGAATTCTGTACCTTTCTTGATAAAACTGCACAGAAGGGTTCCCATCTCTGCAGTTCTTGATTCAGCGCACACCGTGGTGAGAGAGCAGGTTCTCTGCAAGGCCTGTGTTACTGACAGAGATGAGCTGGCCCAGGAGCAGGGGCTGATCTGCGGTACCCTAAAACTGATGGGGAAAACTTAGTCTTCAACATATCGCACCCAAAATGGACCAATATTAACGATTTTCTGTAGAGCTGTGTCTTCTCCAGCCCTCTGTCCAACAAGGATAGTTGCATAATTCTAACCTGGTCTGTTTTGTTGTCCCTGTATCCCATGTGCTCTTTTGTGCTACGTTGCCCTGCTGCATCTGATGTCTCCTTTGGATGCTGTACCCTTTTACTTTTGAGTTGCTGAGGAGAAATGACAGTTCTGAGACCACCAACTGCCTGAGTCTGAGTGCAATTTTTCATGTTGTTTCACTAAATTGTGGATTTGTTTCCATGCTTGGGATCGCCCTAGGATAAATGATACTCAGCTGGTAGATGTGAGTAGTGTCTGATGTTCTCTAATGTCTTCCTAATTGTGCCATTTATAGGTTATTAAAGCCATCGAAGAAGGGTATCGGCTACCACCCCCGATGGACTGCCCCATTGCTCTCCATCAGCTGATGTTAGACTGCTGGCAGAAGGAACGCAGTGACAGGCCTAAATTTGGACAGATTGTCAACATGCTGGACAAACTCATCCGCAACCCCAACAGCCTGAAGAGGACAGGCAGCGAGAGCTCCAGGTCAGCTGTGCTTTTGTAATGGTGATGTACGAGGGAGCACAGTGGAGATGACAGGCAAAGCTGCAAGTCACCCAAACCTCTGTGCTGGGATTACAGCGTGCTCTGTAGCTCTGCCCAGCCAGACTGCACAGCAGACATTGCACCGTGCGAGAGCAGAGGGGTCGTCCTGGCGCACTGCTGAGCCCTGCTGGGCGCCCCAGACTCTCCTGGCTCTGTGAGAAGGAAAATCGAATGAGCAGAGCTGTTGCTGTAGCACACCAGCGCTGACCAGTTTTATAGCACAGTCTTAAGCACGTCCTGAAAAAGTTCTGATTCAGGCAAGCTCTGTTTGAAGACAAATTTTTAGACATCTTTTCCCTCTCCCCCCTAGTGAAAGGGCTTGAACAGGTAGTCTTAATGCAGCGTAGCTCACAGGAGTGATGTGGTTTTCTGCAGGAAAAGTACATCATCAAGTTTTATAAACCCTAGATTTGTGTAGGATTTGCAAATGAGCGTTACGGCATTACAGCCAATGCCTTGCGGGCATTGGGAAGGTGTGGATTAATTTTTATGTGAATTTGAATTTAATTTTGTGGAAAGCCAGTTTCATGTCTCCACCGATCCCACATTACATTTGTGTTTTGTTTTCTTTGCTAAGCATGATACGTGCAAAAGAAGCGCAGTAGGAAGGAAACTCCCAGAGTTGTAGGGTAAAACCAAAGTATCTTTGTTGGGACAGATCAGCAGTTTGTTAAGCTGGTGAAACACTGTTGAAATAATAGGAGCTTTACTAATTTACACCAGGTTTGTTCTGTTTTTTTCAACCGTCTTTGCTTTGTCAGGTAAATTTGCTTACAGCAAATACGGAAAAAAGCTTAAAAGAAAAGAAAGAAGAGGAAAATAATGGGAAAATATTTTTCAATAGAAAGGAAGGTACAAAAATATCGATTGGGCGACACAAAATTAAGTATCTTGGATCAGAGGTTCTGATTCAGCCTCCAACAGAACAACGTCCTGGAAAAAGCTATTTTTGTTATGAAACTTGTAGGTCCCTTTGTGACTCTTGCTTACAATGTACATTATCAGAAGAGGGATTATTAACCCTGTGAGGCCACTGTTATCACATATCTTCCAGATTGCCCTAATTGCATTGGTAGCCTGGCAAAAATGTATCTGTCCTTGAGGCTTAAATAATTTACATGGTGAGAGTCACAATATGATCTGCTGTGATAATTTGATTTGAGAATCACAGTATGAACTCTCCCATTTTGCTTTCTTTCCGATTTACAGGTGCTCTTTGAAAATATAGAGATCTTACAAAAGTTAATAACCCTCTCAAGGTCATTTTGTGTGTGTTTGTATGTAAGTTAATAGCCTATTCAAGGTCATTTCATGTTCATGGCTATTTATAGATCTTTATTTTTCTTCTCTTTCCAATATGTATTTCAAATACGCGTATAACATTATTAATACATCATATGACTTTATACGTGAAGCATAATTGTATATCATTAGGTTGCTGTCGTTGGTCTTGTGTTAGCCAGTACAGTAAAAGAGTCGTACCAAGTATTACCAGCGTGTACGCGGTGCCTTAGGCAAAACGTAACTATGCTATTGCACACCTAATCTTTGATGATGTGCATTTTTAAATAGATTGCTAAATGATAATTGTTTTGGTTAGGTAGATAGTAGTAATTTATAATGGTTTAATGAAACTGTGATTGATGATATACATGAAATAATAAATGAGATATTAATAAGAGGAGCAAATTTTGTAAAAATTATTATTTGCAAATCTGTGCAAGGGAGAATGAGAAGCACATTCCACAGTGCAAACAAAGATCAAAGCTTGCATGATTCCCACCACTCCTGGCACACGCGCAGGTCAGGAATGGATTGATTAAAGAGGGGATTAACTCCCTGCTGTCCTCAGTTTGATTGAATGCACTGAGCTCGCTGTGGAACCTGGCTAGAAACAGGATTTATCTGAACCCGCCCTGAGTTTTGCCCTCCAAACCAGTCTGGCAGGTTGTGAGCTCCGGGTTCCTTTGCGCATTCTTCAGTAGTGTTTCTATAGTTGCTGAGCTGAGGACTGACACATGCAGGATTGGCAAGGTCTTGCATTGCTGCCTGTGAGATACAGACCCGGTAGGCTGAACGCCTCCCAGCATTGCCATCCTCTTTGGTTTTTGAAGTAAAAGCATTTTCTGTGAACTTGGTTGCATCTGAGGTGAAAGTTGTAAGCGGCATTGTGGTTCAAATTAGATCTGAAATGAAAAATAGAAACCTAAAGTCAAATTAATTCTTAGCAAAAATTGGCCGATTACTTTGCAGTTTGTTAAGTTTCTTGCATTGATCTACGTTGCTGTGGGAGAGAGCCACCAGTTTTGCTGGGCACATCATCTTGCCCTTACTTTCCTAATCATTGAGGATAATTGTTGCAGAGACCAAACTTTGGTTTGTGATTCATGATCCAGCTGACACCATTTCTCTGTCCTCTCACTGTTTGGCCCCCAGACCAAGCACAGCCCTGCTGGATCCCAGCTCCCCTGAGTTCTCGGCGGTTGTTTCTGTCGGTGACTGGCTCCAAGCCATTAAAATGGAGCGATACAAGGATAACTTCACAGCTGCTGGCTATACCACCCTAGAGGCTGTGGTGCATATGAACCAGGAGTAAGTACTCAGTGATAAAACAAAAAAAACCCAACTGGTAAATCTGGATTTAATCGGCCTCTTTTGCTTTGTGCTGCATATCATTACGCTCATTAAAGGAGTGGAATGCCTTTCATTTGGATGGAGGATAACTTTAAAATGCTTCCGCAGTGCCTTCACTTACTCAGTTAAACATTTCTGTACATCTGCCTTGCTTTTGCTATGTTGCTCGCGGTTCACTCTTAATATTTTTCTCTGCATCCACGGTTCTCAGCCCCCTGCTTCTTCTCTTGCTTTCCACAGTGACCTGGCAAGGATCGGGATCACTGCCATCGCTCACCAGAACAAGATCTTGAGCAGCGTTCAAGCAATGCGCACCCAAATGCAACAGATGCACGGCAGGATGGTTCCCGTCTGAGCCAGTACTGAATAAACTCAAAACTCTTGAAATTAGTTTACCTCATCCATGCACTTTAATTGAAGAACTGCACTTTTTTTACTTCGTCTCCTCGCCCGTCGAAATAAAGATCTGCAGCGTTGCTTGATGTACAGATTGCGGAAACCGAGCGTGTGTGTTGGGAGGGAGGCCTCCAGAAATGACAAGCCGTCATTTTAAACCAGACCTGGAACAAATTGTTTCTTGGAACATACTTCTCTGTTGATCAACGATATGTAAAATACATGTATCTATATAAATATAAAGTCACATTCAAGTTTTGATGCTATGTTTGCTGCCAGATACTGTGCTTAAAAACAAAATTACTTTCCTTCTCCTTATGACCCGTAGGATTACAACCATAGTGTTTTATTTGTGGGTGAAACCACCGTTGTGCATCTGTCACTGGAATGAAGAATCTGCCCTAGGATAATTTTTGCAGACTTGATGCATCACTAATACCTTGCAGGAACCTCAGTGAGAATATCGTTTGGCTAATCAGTGCCTGCCAGTTAGTGATCTACCCGTTTACGGGTTTGAGACATGAAATGACCCACCTCGTGGATTACTGGGCAAAACTGGACTTCTGGGGAGGTTATTGGCTGTTGTTGTGCTGTGCTGAAGCCTACCACTTAAAGACATTTTGTGAACATCTTGCCAGTAGTCAGCTGTGACAATCGTGGCTGTGGAGCGTTCAGACTTCTTTTCTGTTTCAAGAAGCAATTCCCTTTGCCACAGGCAGAAGGTCAGTGGAAGTACAGTGTCCAACATGTTCATGGTGCTTTACTTCTTAAACTGTGCTGGGATTTCATCACTGTCGGGGGAAAAAAGAAAAAAAGTGCTGTGGTACGTATCATTTGGGGTTCCCAGCTGGTTTGTATGAACTTGTGCTAGTTTCCCAGACTAATTGCTTAGTGCTTCCCATTGTTTGCTCTGTTTGATGACAGTGAAAATTGCACTGTCTCAAAACCTGGTCTTGCTCTTAAGCTGTTGCATGTTAGGATGTGCAGACAAGATGTAGGAGTGTGTCTTGGGGCTCACTCAGTTCGGTGCTAAGAGCTTGACCCCACTTTGCAGTGAAAGCAGTAGGGATACCCTAATTTTTGGGGCGGAAAAACCCACACATAGGGGTCTGATAGAAAGTAAGAATAACCTTGTAAAGTACAGATACTCATAAATGCACCAAGAAGAACCAAGGACTTTTCCTGCCCTCTCGTGAACAACAGTAGAACCAATATTTGTGTTTTAGAAAGATCAGTCTTGGTTGCTGTGTCAGTGGTTTTATGGGAAGGGGAGCAGAAGGAAATGGGATTATGCATGCAGCCTTCCTGGCTGTGCACAGTTTGGGGGTCGGGCATGATGACAGCTCCCTGTCACGCAGCAGTGTTACGCTTCAGACACGGTGATCCAGTCTCATCAGCTGTGGGAACCAAGTTCACTTTGGAAACCATCCCCGTAGGGTGGATTATCAAGGCAACTGTGGGTGTGAGTGCCAGCTGGAGGCTGCATGGCTAAGGTTTAAGCGCCCCTCTGCAAGTACGTCAATGGAGATGGAGCATGACCGGCTTGAAAAGCTGCCCTCCAACTCCTCTAAGAAATAGGTGGGAAGTTGAGTCAGTGAAAGCATCCTCTGGGTTGCTAGGTGGAGGTCGCTGCTATAGGGATGTGATTGTCCTCAGTAGGTCACATAGGATAAAGCTTTATCCAGTAAAGCTCTGAACACATTTAGGCTTGAATTTTATTTATATTAAAACTTTTATTAGTCTTGTTGAACAGAGTGTATAAATTAGATTCCTTTTAAAGACCTTTTGAGGACCAAGTGATCAGATGACCTTAGACAAGAGTCAGGATCAGGCCCACTTAGGCTGTGCTGGGGAGGAGGAGGATTTTCATGACACATCCTCTACAATTGACATTGTGCTTCAGGTGTGCCAGACACAAAGTCAGAAAGGTGAGATTTATGTTTTGATGGTGCTAAGACTGGTTCTTTAGTCTATAATATTTTGGTCCCACTCTGCACCTGACAGCAAATTCAGAAATGATTTGGTGCCTTTATATGTCAGATTTTTTTAATAATTGCATTTATTCTAAATCCGGAACAGCTCACTCAGTTGGACAAGTCACACTTACTGTGTCGTCACTCCCATTGCTTTTTGTCACATTTAACAATAACTTGCTGATTTTAACCACTAACTCCCTCACCCCCAACTTTCTCAGAAAACAACTTGTTCAGAATATGGGATACTAAATTTGGATCCTGTCAAGTCATGACAGCTTAGTAAACTCTGTTCTGCAGTGTTACTTATAAAAGCTTCTCTGTTTCAAGACATTTAAGATTTCTTTCTTTTAAAAAACTACTTAAACCATCATGTTTTAATGTCATTTTGCCAGGCAATGTAAGAAGTGGTTACTCATTTTGAAGACCTGACACTTGTACTTTCAGCAACAAAAATTCTTTTACTTCTTAAATGCAGAGATACTTTGTTTCCTCTTACTGTAAATCTGTTGCATTCCATTGAAATTGTCTTTTTACGAAAAAACAAAGTGCACCCAATTTTCTGGCCAGTTTGTAAAATTGCTTTCTTGGAGTCTAGTAGTGGTAATTTAAAACACTCCAATATTTTCCACCCAAAATGAAAAGCTGTATTCTGTAGAATGAAAACTGTGAAGGCAGCTCAGATGCCAAGTTTTCAGAACTGCCATTGATGGTTGTGTTCCTTGTGAAAAAATATGCGAGGGGGCATCCGCTTGAATGGGATTTTAGCTGGAGCAGAACAGATTAAAAAAAATAGGTGGCACGTATACATGTATATATAGGTTACATATCGCTTTATAAGATATGTCATGGAAGCAAGACTTTGAAATAATGTGAGGGAAAGAATAGGGACAAGGAAGGCAAAGGTTTCTGACCCTTTGGGAACTGCTGGTTGTATTTGTCTCGCCGGCCCAGGAGGGGCGAACCAGGCAGCGAGAGCGCGGCAGCCTGCTGCAGCCCTTTGTGTGAGAATTGCGTCGCTGCCTACTTTCTCTTCTGTCCTTTAGGAAATCCTCCCCTCTCTGGGGAGAGATGCAATTCTCTGAACCTGCCGCCGTGTCACCTCTTCACTGGGGCAGAGATGAGTTCGGGTGTTTTCTGTTGATGTGCATCAGGAATTGCAGCAGCCACGGAGGGGCTGGCTACCTGCAGCAGAGCTTCTGCTGGGAAATCTAAGAGGAGGCGTTCAGGCAGGTGGGTGTGTTTCTGTCTTGTTGCATGTTGTTTAATATATATGTCTTTTCTTTTTGTGCAGGGAAATTATATTTTGCTTTCATGGCCTCATGGCCCGTCCTATTGATCATATTGACCATGGAGAAACATAGACTAGACATGAAGCCTTCTGGATCCACAGTTGTGTCATCCCAAGCGCTGATTCTGGAAAAGACACGCTGAACAGTCATCGGTCCCTGAAGAGAGCGTGACTTTTACTTTCTTTTTTTTTTTCCTTGCCACCCACCCCGTCTTTTTTCTTCATTGAGAGATAACTAACTCGATAAGACTCACCCAGTTGTCACTTGAGGAATGTACTGTGTCAAAGCTCTGCAGACTTCTGGATTTTTTTTTTCCCTCCCCTTCTGCTTTCTCTTCCTACCTTCGGTTTTATTTATATATTTTGTTATTTTCTCTCCTCATTCCCCTGGCTGTCACTTCTGCATCTCAGATGAATGCAGGTGACGGAGCACTACACATCTTACCATGGACGCCAGGCCAGGTGCCGCAGCAGAGAACCCAGTTCCTGTGAGCTGCCCATATATGTTGCTGAAGTGACATTTTACACGAAACGTGCCATTGCAGTGATATAAATATATTTTTTTTCCTTGAATGGATAATGGATTATTATCTCCTCTGAAAGGTGCGTATGTGTGCTTGTGTGCGTGTGTTTGCGTGCGAGTCACCTCGTGTGTAGAACTGCCTGTGAATGTGCCGAAAACATCTCTGGAAGCGCAGGAGTCCCCTGTCATATGAGAGCAGGCCAATAGCTCGTGTCTGCAATGGTAGCAAGAACACACACATTAAAAAATGTTTAAATTTGTGTACCTCTAAGTGTATTTTTTAGCTGCCACACTAACCTTAATGAGTAGTTCTGCAGCCTGAAACAGGGGCAATTTCAAGTTAGTTTTGGAGTCGTGGATTATGGGATCTATAAGGGTGCTAAAGACTTTCCTAAGTGTTGTTTGTTCCTACTAATGCCCCGTTCATGATCAAGACCGACCAGTTTCTCAATGGCAAGGTGATGGAAGCAACACCTGCATATCCATCCACTGGTAACCCTGAACCGAATTCTTAAGTAGCCTTTTTTATCTGCAAAAATAGGATTTTAAAGACTTGTTGAATGCGAACAAATATATGCAATTCTTCCATTCACAGAAGCACCTTGCTCTGTGTGCAAGCTGTGAAAACTTGTAACGTAATAATCAAAACACTTCATTTGCTCCCAGCACAGTTAAGGAACAAAATCGCAACAAGACCTGTAAGGTTACAGTAGATAGCAAGAGAGTTGTGAAACGCGTCCTGTTCCTCGTGCGGGCGATGAAGAGCTGGTGCGGTGCAGGAGCAGGCACGCTTTCTTCCGTGGCCCGAGGAACAGTGCTGCGACTTACTGGTTCTACCTGGAAAAGCTTTCTATCTTTGGAGGATTTACTGTCACTGTAGTGTAAGGTGGTTTGAGTGGAGCTGTGCGCTACAGCCCAGGGAGCGTACGGCCGCTGGGTATTTGGAGAGGGGTGGGTGATGCTCCCCGCTTGCCTCCTGGCCGCAGGGGGCTGGCGTCTGCCCCGCGCAGCAGAGCAGACTGCCACGGGACAGGGGCAGGGGACAGGGACAGGGAGAGGGGCTCGCTCCAGCAGACGTGGGGGAGGCTGGATGCGCTGCGTTTAAAGAGAGCGCAGCCTTGACCAGAGCTGTAAATTGGTGTCCCAAAGTTGCTCCTGCCTCCTCCTCTTTTCCCGCCTCGCTGACCTTCCGAGTTCATTGTTAGCCGTAATTCTGCCCGCTCTGGCGGAGGAGCAGCTCCGGGAAGGGAGGTGAGGGCAGCCGTGCTGTCGGCAGAGGCCGGGCATGGTCAGGGCGCCAGGAGGTGCCAACTGTGCCACCCGGCACGGGCCACCTGCGGCGGCTGCTCCGGATGGAGCTGAGGGCAAAGGGAAAGCGAGTGCCGCGGTACTGCTTCCCGTTCCTGAGGAGGTCATCGCCAGGACCATCGCGCATGATAAGCCTCTGTTTGTTAAGAAGTTGTCCTGCTCACACACCACTGGTTGATGTTTGTCCGGGTTTCTTGCTGTACTAATTTTGTGATGGATCTTATGTATTAAAAATATATATGTATAAAATACAAAAGGCTGGTAAGTAACCAGTAAACAGGACTTAAAAAGCAGTATTTTTCTTTTATGTGACATTTTCATAACCAGAAAAAAAAAATCTGAAATACTAATCAGACAAATAAAAAGAGAGTGCATTTATTTTTTTGTATCACTGCAAGTATGTTGGAATATGCAAGGACTGTGGTTAAAATTAGAATGTATGAGGCATATTATAATTTAGTTCATACTGAAAAAATCTAACAGCATTTCTTGGTTCGTGCATTTGAACGATCTCTGGGTTAGATATAGAGATTTTTCTATTTTGTTTTAATTTGTAATTTTTTTCCCCCTCCATGAATTTTAGGTACACATAACTTATGTCATTTATTTATGGTCTTTTATACCTAGTTTGTAAAATTGTAAAATAGCAAACAATGCAAACATTTGCATTTGAAAATAATAAAGTAGTTGCTGTACAAACCTGAAATGGACTATTTCTAGTTATTGCATGTTTTTTTATTTAGTGTTTATCCACAACAGATACAAATACAGAACTCAGAGTAATAATCCTGGTGTTTGCCCCACAGGGATTAATGCTCTTCAGTAGATTTCACAGGAACGCACTCCCCAGGTTCATTTAAACTGCGTAGCTCCCATGTGCACCTTAAAGCATGGGGTTTTTTCTTGTTACCACCCCGGACTGTGTGGTGTGCTGAATACTTGCAATGCGGGAAGGATGCTGCGTTCAGGCTGACCTTGTTAACGATCTCAGTGATTTTTCCTTGGAGAGCAGGCAGTATCCGTGGGCGCCGTGCCTGAGAAAAACCTGCAGGATCATAATGTTGTTTCGTTTGCGCTCCTGGGACGGGCTGGGAATAGTCTCCCTCCCCTGTCTCCCGCTGTCTGGACCTTGCCTGGGGCCAGACGTCACCTTGGCAGAAGTCCTACAGTTTTCACAGCTTCCGTTGGGCCAGGATTTCACCTTGAATGTGGGAACTGTGACCTTGCTGCCGAGCGACTGCACTTGCTGCTCTGCTGTGGGCTGCGTTTGCGTGGGTCGGTGGGCTCGTGCTGGAGACTCCTGGCCAGAGAGGGAGAAGGTGAAAGGAGCAGGAGGGAGAAGCCGAGGGGTGAAACGCAAACCAGAGGCATGAGAGGGTCAGGAGCAGCAAAAAATGGAGAGGGATGGTTTCTGTGACAAGGGCTCCAAGCCAGAGACCGAGAGAGTGGATATTGTGCAAAGGATGTTGCTGTGTAACGGCAGTGCGCCCGTGGACACGCACTGCGCAGTCCGAGTGCCCGGGGAATAATGTCCTTAACCAGCGCTTCCTTACAATGCTGCTGCTTAGGTTAGGATATACGGACTTTTTGGCATTTCAACTATCGGAATGATATATGTCCACAGTTCAGAGGTACTGCAGAAAGGATGGTGGTGACTCTTCTAGAAATTTACGTAAGCTTTTGACGTGTCTATTTGAAAAATACTTTGAACCAAATTCTTGGGAAAGTTTCCCGTGGCGCCAGCAGGACCATATTGTACAGCACTGGTCCCAAGAAAGTCCCGCCGATGGCACCGGGTTTATTGTGTTTTAAAAGCAAGTTCATTGTGTCCTTTTTTACTGGGAGAGCGAGCCAGCCAGCTGGGTGTTCTCCGGTGCCTTTATTCAGCCAGTCGGTGCATTAAGAGAGAATGTGCCATGGCTGGAAAAACAGATTCCATTTCACACGCACAAAGAAGTTTTACAAATTACTCAGTTTTATTGTGAAATGAAAGCAAAACCTTTACATCTTTTTAAGAAACAACTGTTACAAAATGTCCAGTGAGGATTGAACACTTGGGTACTCTCCCTTCTCTTTCTGATTCTCAGCTCTTTTTCCCTTTTAGCTCCCAAATCTGAGAAATCATCCTGTCAAAACTTTTTACCCCAATGGTTCCATTTTCTTCCAAGTATATGGATTTTACTGAAATATTTCCGTAACAAAAAGACATTAGTTCTCTCTCTGCCCCTCACTCTTTC